AATAATAATAATCTTTATTTCTACAAGTACATGTACAACGTATACAGGCTTAGTTGACATCAATGATCCACACCAATCGACTAACACCCAGGTACCTATTTTACTGATAGGTGAACAGGGACAGCAGATGTCACAAGGAAACACGTCCTAATATTTCCACCCGTACCGGGGATCGAAGCACGGACCTCACTGTGTGAGCTGAGTGCGCTAGCAATCAAGCTACGGGATAGAGTCAGAGGCGTCCCTGTTTGTTGACATGTTGCTGTTTCTTTTTCAGTGGCATTTTTTTTATTTTTGCAGTCTTCCATGTATGTATATATATATATATATATATATATATATATATATATATATATATATATATATATATATATATATATATATATATATATATATATATATATATATAAAATATATATATATATATATATATATATATATATATATATATATATATATATATATATATATATATATATATATATATATATATATATATATATATATGCAAAACAACCACTGTGAAAAAGTAGTGAAATTCCAAGCGCTTTCGTGACTACTCACATTGTCAAGTTAAGTTTCTTATCTGAAGAACTCGTTAATTATGAATTACCATTGCCAGTTCCTACCATCATTAAACTTATTAAACTTTGCATTGTTTACCTGGAGTTTACCTGGAGAGAGTTCCGGGGGTCAACGCCCCCGCGGCCCGGTCTGTGACCAGGCCTCCTGGTGGATCAAAGCCTGATCAACCAGGCTGTTACTGCTGGCTGCGCGCAAACCAACGTACGAGCCACAGCCCGGCTGGTCAGGAACCGACTTTAGGTGCTTGTCCAGTGCCAGCTTGAAGACTGCCAGGGGTCTGTTGGTAATCCCCCTTATGTGTGCTGGGAGGCAGTTGAACAGTCTCGAGCCCCTGACACTTATTGTATGGTCTCTTAACGTGCTAGTGACACCCCTGCTTTTCATTGGGGGGATGTTGCATCGTCTGCCAAGTCTTTTGCTTTCGTAGTGAGTGATTTTCGTGTGCAAGTTCGGTACTAGTCCCTCTAGGATTTTCCAGGTGTATATAATCATGTATCTCTCCCGCCTGCGTTCCAGGGAATACAGGTTCAGGAACCTCAAGCACTCCCAGTAATTGAGGTGTTTTATCTCCGTTATGCGCGCCGTGAAGGTTCTCTGTACATTTTCTAGGTCTGCCTTGAAAGGTGCTGTTAGTGTGCAGTAATATTCCAGCCTAGATAGAACAAGTGACCTGAAGAGTGTCATCATGGGCTTGACCTCCCTAGTTTTGAAGGTTCTCATTATCCATCCTGTCATTTTTCTAGCAGATGCGATTGATACAATGTTATGGTCCTTGAATGTGAGATCCTCCGACATGATCACATGATCAACATGATCAACATGATCAACATGATCACATGATCAAAATTTGTATTTAATGATAAGTTTTACACTCAGAAATTTGGTATGGCAATGGGAAATCCTCTTTCACCTGTTCTTAGTAATCTATACATGGAATTTCTTGAAACAAGATTGCTTAACACAATCCTCCCTAATAGAGCTAAATGGTTCAGATATGTCGATGATATTTTATGTCTTATGCCCAAGAATGTAGATATACACCATTTCCTTGGCAAATTAAATAGCTTAGCCCATTCTATAAACTTTACTGTTGAGTTTGAGGAAAATAACTCATTGCCTTTTCTAGATGTTTTAATTATTAAGAGTAATAATGAATTCAAATTTAAAATTTGCAGAAAACCTACAAATAACTGTTCCTATGTCCACTATTATTCTTCACATCAAGATAAAGTTAAACTGTCTGTTTTCTCATCAATGTTTTGAGAGCTTTACGAATTTGTAGTCCTGAGTTCATAGATGAAGAAATATCCAAAATTTATGAAATAGGTAATGATTTAAAATACCCAAGAAATGTAATTGATAAATCTTTTAAAGTTGCTAGAAATACTTTTTACAATCCAAAAAGGGACAACCAGCCTTATTCAACTTCTAAATATGTTGGTTCTCCCTTACCATGAAAACTTGGTTGATATGCCTTCTCTTCTTAAGACTTTTAATATTAAAGTTGTATTCAAAAATCTTGATACAGTAAAAAAAACTTTTGATAAAGAATTCTCCCCAAAATGCTGATGGATGTGTCTATAAGATTCCTTGTAAAATTTGCGATAAAGTTTATTACGGTCAAACTGGTAAAAGTCTCGAACTAAGATTAAAACAACATAAATATAGCATTAGAACTGGACAAGATTCCAATGCTCTATTTATTCATGTGAGAGATTTTAACCATCCAATTGATTTTCAAAAAGTTGAGAAAGTTGTATCAAGCAAGTCCATGGTCGACAGGAATATAATTGAATCTTGTTTCATAAAAAGCAGTTTTGAAAATAATATGAATATTTCCTTAGGTTTGTATAAATTAGATTTATTTATAATTAATAAAATTTGGTTAGAGTTTAATAATACATTGGACAAATAATAAACCTTATTTCTTGGGTAGAATGATTTGTTGGTGGGTTATCGTGAGGACCTGTCTAGCGGACTTATTGCAGTGTTCCTCTTTTCTTATGAGTCCGGTATTGTCCCGCGTCAGGTGTTTCTTTGTTGTGGGAGTTGACTGTGAGGTGTAGTCTAAGCCCTTTAATTGCCTTCCTTTGATGTATTACTTTCATAGTTCCTTGACAATGTGAGTAGTCACGAAAGCGCTTGGAATTTCACTACTCTTTCATAGTGGTTGTTTTGCATTTTTTAAATCACCTGTTTACTGTGATCTTATTGCATATATATATATGTCATGCCGAATATGTAAAACTGGTCAATTAGCAAGAACTCATTTAAAATTAAATCCTTTCTGAAATTTTCTCTTATACGTTTAAAGATATATTTTTTCATTAATGTTAATGTAAAAATTTTTAATTTTGCACCAAAAGAATCTTAGAAAACTTACCTAACCTTATTATAACAAGATCAATTTATTTTAGCCTAACGCAACTAAATATATTTTAAATACGTTAACAATAATTTAGTACTAAACAAACACAATCAAATATATTTTTTTCGTTAGGTTCAGAATGATTTTGGCGAAATTATTGCATACACAAATTTTCACTTGTCCTATATGGCAAGATGAGCGTTGCTATTTAAGCCAAGATCGCAAGTTCTGCCTATTCGGCACGATATATATATATATATATATATATATATATATATATATATATATATATATATATATATATATATATATATATATATATATATGGCGAACAAACGATACAAAATGCAAAACAACCATGGGAGGGTTAGTCACCCAGGATTACCCAAGGAAGTCAGTGCGTCATCAATGACTGTGTCTTATTTCCATTGTGGTCCTTCAGTCTTGTCCCCCGGGATGCCACCCACACCATTCGAGTAACAACCAGGTACCTGCTTACTTGTAGGTGAATTGGGACAGCAGGTGTAAGGAAACACGCCCAACGTTTCCTCCCTTGCCGGGAATCGAACCACGGACCCACGTGTCAACTGTTGTATGAACTTCCTCCTAGTTACAATATACCAGCGTTTACAATTTGAAGCCGATCGATTGAGGCATTCTCAAGTTATAATCAGAAAATTCAGAAGAAAACAAATTTTTGTCACCCACTTTAAGGCACCTTCTTGGGGATAAGTGATAATGTACTATTACAACAGACCAGTTAGTAACAGTGTTACAGTGGTGAACTTGACACATTAGCAGTCACATATATCGATTAATTGACTTTATTGCATCATTAGTTTTATCGTTGTTATGTATAGCAATATTTGTGATTCATATATAAATATGGTACACCATATGGACATAAGCCTATAAATATATGTTTTTTTGTTGGGTATTATCCTTGGCTGAAGAATCATTATCACCATTGTATGCTTCCTTAAGTGTAAACTGCAACGCTTTAAATTTTTTATATGAGAAAAGTAATGATAATTTAAACCACAATGAACATCAATTGTCAATAAATAGAAGTTTAAAATTGCAAGACTGTACATGCATTTTCTGTCGTTAATAAAAATCTTATCTTTAATATCGACAATTGTGTTACCAATACATGATACAACTTATATAGACCATAGCTGACATCAATGATATACTACTATATAGAAAGTCCCTTGTTATGCTGAGCATTTCGGGCAAATTAGGTTAATTTTGTCTTCAGGATGTGACGCATACTAGTCCACTAACACTCGGGTACCTATTTTACTTTTAAGTGAACAGGAGCAGCAGGTGTAAGGAAACACCAGTACCGGGGATCGAACCACGGACACTCAATGTGTGAGCTGAGTGCGCTACCAGCCGAGTTACTTAAATTTTTCTCTCTATTTTTTTCTCTCTCGAAAACAGTATGCAATAGTTTACGTGATAAGTAACAAAAATCCATTCACTTATATGTAGTGAGTATGTTTTATATCCACTCGCACGAGACATTACTCACCTGTATTGTTCTCAGTGATCAAGAATTTCTTAGATTTTTTTTTTAATTTTGATTATTATATTTAGAGCCGTAGAGTGCCTGAAGAATAAAGGGTAAGCAGGTTTGATCAAAAAAAAAAAAAAAAACAAGATGGGTAGCTCCAAGTCCTTAGTTCACGAACCCTTCAGCAGCATTATGACCTTGCTGACCTTTGAAAGGTTTAAAACAGTGAATCAAAGTTCGAGTATAGTATAACAACATACAGAAACTGTACGAAAGTGACGTTTAGGGAGGCACACGAGCGATGGTACCAAAATAAAAATTTTCGAGTTTTAAGCGATCAAGTCAAATATAATATAAAATACCCATGTATAACCTTTACTGATCGGTGAAATGCCCTCGCATGTCTGTTATATCTTTATATTCATGTCAAGGACATAAATTTCTAGTTTTATATATACTTTTCAAGGGTAAATTACTACAAGGAAGAAGGTATGGTGGTGGTGGTGTGGTGGCATCAGTGTCGGTGCTCGGCAGCCACGGGTGTAAACACTGGAAAAAGTCAGTGCAAGTCTGTCAGTGTCCGTGTGAGGTTATGCTCCTCCTTCCCTCTAACTTAGGTATGGTGCCCTCTTTAACAGTTTATGTGTGCCGAGTTTGTATTGCGAGTTATTACTAACTTACTGATAAAAAACAAATTCATAATAAAAAATATCTATAACATATCAGAAAGAAAGCAAAGATGAATCTAACGGTGAATGAGTAGCAAGAAATCCGAAACTTTTGATTACTATTTTTTTTTTTGTATCTGGTGGAAACTTTCGAGGCAGAGTGTTGTGATATTTACAGGACTTGACTTGTACACTTACCATGTATAGTTCTCAATATAAATTCTAATATAAATGTATCTGAGGGAGGTGATGAAGCAATAGGTGAGTCATGACAGCAGCATCATACATGTGGCTAGCACACTCCTTCATACACCACCAGCTGCCATATTTACACACATATTTACACACACATGAGCAGAACTGGGACCAACCTACACAACTAATCCCAGAAACTATATGTCGAAGTGATTACAGTTGTTTGCAGACAGTTTTCGAGTTATTTTCGTGTCCACCTGCAGCTTTTTCTTTTTTTTTTTTTTTGTGTCATTATAACCGCCGTACATGAAGGAGGTAAATTGATGCTGGTGAAAGGCTCCTGATCCATGAAATTGACGCTGCTGTCACTTTCTTTGAATTAAACTGGATTACCTCCTATTACTCAGACGCTGTGTAACTTTTAAGTCAAATTTTATTTCCACATGATACAATGTGTACACAGAAATTGGTGACTGATGGCATGCAGAGTCCATGCTTATGGAAAGCATTTCGGGCAAGGGAGAAAATGACAGAGTGCAATATACTATACAGTATGCAACGTTTCGCCCATATGTGCATTTTATCAGGTCACAAATAGAGCTACTTATGACTTAATAACTGCTAGGATGAAATGCCAGTAAAGAAATGGCACTTGTCTCCATCATGTCGGTATTTTACTCCAATACTCTCCATAAGTCTCTTCTTAAAAACCACTTAATCACTCACAACTAAATAAATACTGCATAACTGTATCTCATAAATTATAACCTGTGACCCTATCAAACTTTGTTTTTTTAATTACATTACCTAATAGAATATTCCATTCTCTTGAATGCACAGTAACTCGTCAAATGACCATATGATCTGTCTTTGTAATACTCATTTGTGCTTAATTGTTATTTGTTTACTGTAATTTTTACCACTGAATATATCATTGCTTAGTTAATCTTTAAGTTAATTTTAAGCTGCCCATAATGCTCTGCATACAAGGGGATTTTGGCATGTTACACTTAACCACTGTATTTCTCTGTACATCTATGTATCATGTCCAAATTAATAATAAATAAACCAGGCTGGCATAGCACTTATTGCATGAATGTAATAATAGTGTCAGATTACAAAGAATGTGTAAGTAAAGTTGTGAAGTTTTCAGATTACTTTTCTAATAAAGGATACTAAATAGTATATTACATTCTTCTTCCCAAGACTTATTTTGAATATTACACGCTATTCTGTTTGACCTGTTTTTTATTTATTACCAATATTAAATACTGTATGACCCCAGTGAGTTTAAAGCGTTCCTAAGACTATAATAAAACTAGATATATTACATTGTGTGAATGCCCACGTTCTCCGTATGTATTTTACAAAACTTTAATAACCCTACTGTATTTTTGGAGGGATAGTGTATATATTTTAATAATATTGAAAATATTTAAGCATTTTTTTTGTGTGGAAAAACTTGTCAATATTTGTGCTATTGTATATCAACATTGTTTAAACCATGGCCTCATATTTATTTTTTTTTTATTTTAATTGCAGGATATGTTGTCAAATTAAGTGAATACCAGGTGCAGCTAATATGTACACCATGAAAAATAATGTAATGCCATCTGTCATTAAGTGCATCCTCTTCCATTTAAGTGATATTTAAACTCAGAAAAATATAAAAGGAAATGTTTTATGTGATGTGTTTGAAGAAAATTGATATTTTACTTTCTAATATTGGAAAAAAAGAAATTAACATAATATGGTACTGTGAAATTATGAAAATTCAAATTTAAGTGAAACAATGATGTGCTTTGTAAAATTAGAAAGGTTCCAGGAGCCTTTCATAGTGTTTTATCTTGGTTATTCTTCTTGAAAAATCCTTACTTCTAGTCAAAATGGGGTCACGGAATGTGGTTGCTGCGTGTATCCTGGTTACTGGAAGTGTCTACCAGGTCTTTGCATATCCCATAGACCCTGATGGTAAGAATCTCTGTTTTACAGCAGTACAAATCTGTTTTCTAGTACCATATGTAGAAGTGCCTTGTGTAATATTCTGATCTGCTAGATATGTGTACTTCATATGAAAAACATACATGCTTTTTTTTCTACATATCTGCTTGTAGTTAAATGTGGATATTTTTTGCAACAAATTTTATATAATCATCAAATCATTTATGCTGTAATAAATAATTTTGTTTGTCATTAAGACAATGTATCAAAAATATGCAGCTCTTACGCAATTCATTTTTTTTAAGTGTTAAAGTTAATATCTTGTACATTAGTGTTGTACACTGCTATAGCTAAATGTTAGTAAAATATTTCCACTTAATATCTTCATTATATACTTTTCATTATGTCCTTTTTCTAAAATGCAGTTGTACGTACATTACTAGTAAAAAGCCTTGCATCTGAAGTACATACCAAGACAGCATTAAAAGTCTCTCATTCTTTGTTGTATTAAATTTAAATGTTTAGTTAATACATTACAGTAGTTTTGTATTCTCTTGATAATGATTAATTTTTTTTTTTTTCTGAAATCTCATGGTGGCACAAAAGTAGTTAAGGTTTCAACTAGGCTATGATTAATCTTGATGCTCTTAAGGCAAAATGTTGCTTTGTGGCATGCTGAGGATCGTTCACCTATCCTAATATCATTTTCATAAATGTGGGAGTCCATCCAGTAGGAAATATTGTCAACTCTCAGGTTCTGACAGATATCAGGTAAAATGCATTTCAATCCTATTGAATTTCTTTCTTCATGAAGACCTTTAATGATTAAATTTTTTTAATTGTGAGAACTTTTGCTTTGCCTCAAATTGAACCAAATTCTTCATTTTCCCATTTCTGTGTTGTTATTTACTTGTCATAGCTGATTTCTTGAAATCCTGAGAAGCACAATGCGAGAGTAAAATTGGCACCTTACAACAAATAACTTTGTGAAGTGAAAAACATGTAGGAAAAATAGGGTTAGGTTCAAGAGAGCTCCAAATTCTCTATGCATACTTACCCAACAACATTTTTCATAAGTACAGAAGGGCCCCACTTTTACAGCAGGTTAGGTTTCAGGCTACTGCTGTAGCCTGGAAATGCAGATAAAAGCCTGATAAGATGTTTACACTATCATATATTAAGTGAGCAATAGAGCTAGGCCTAAAAAATGCATATACAGTACACACACAACTTACCTTAAAATATTTTCTTAAACTTAGAGCGAGTGGTGAATATATTTATTGTAGGAGGTCTGAATAAATGAAGAATGCATTAGCGAAATACCGTAAAGCAATGAGCTGTAAAGTGGGGCCTGCCTGGTTCCTGCTAGGTACAGTACAAATTAATATTGTATTAATTAGTATTGTATTAATATTGTATTAATTAGTATTGTGGCTCAATTTTTAGTGGCTTCAGCTCGCATTCTGAGTGCTCAGGCTTTGATCCTCAGAAGAGTGGAAACTTTTGGGCATGTTTCCTTGCACCTTTTGCCCCTATTCACTTAGCAGTAAGTAGGTAACTGGGTCTTAGATGACTAGTGTGGTTTTTTTTCTTGAGGTGGAAATTAAAATACAGCAGTCAGTTTGATAACAGTAACATTATTGGATTAACCCTTAAACGGTCCAAACAAATCGATGTTCAAATTCGTAGTGCTACAAAAGTAGATCTACTTTTTTTTACATATTTTCAAATATAACAAAAAAAAATGTACATAAGTTTTTTACACATTTTCAAATGTAAAACAAAAAAGATTACATTTTTTTACATACTTTCAGATGTTGAAAAAACGTATATATACGTTTGGACCATTTAAGGGTTAACCTATGTTACCCTCCTGTTAAATAGTGTAATCTGAAAAAAATAAAAGTCTAATACATTACATTCTAGTTATTGCTTGTTGACATGGAAGTGTGTGAAGAAGGTTGATGTGGTTTTGTAGGCTGAGGTTCATAACTTCGGTTCTTTTGTTGTGATGGTTGTACAAGAATGCTCAAGTATTCTGTAATGTGCATCTGGTTTGTTTTACACTGCAGTACTTCATACAGCTGATTATAAAGCATCATTGCATGCTCCAAAATCTTCTACAGACAAATGCTGCTAGAGTTCTTGCCATTCTTTTTCAGTGAAAAATTCTGAACTTTGTCAGTAACATGGAGCTGTTCATCCTCTTCAGTTATCTGCCTCTCTCCTAACTGGGAATTTAACTTCTCCAACATATCTTCTACAGTGTTTCATCATTCTCTCTCAACAGTTCATTTATACCTTGTTGATACACATCTTGAAATCCTTACAGCTACCACAATTTCCTGGTTCTAACTCCTTACCGAGGGGAAAATCAGAATAATTATTGACCACAGTAGGTTGTAATTTATGCCAGTCTACATTTATGGTTGATGTATGCAAAGTCTGCAGGGAAATTTCATGCCACTGCATGATCAGTTGAAAAGCATTCTTCATTGCACCTTACATTATGAAGCTAAATTGTGTATTTTTAAGCTTTCAACCATCCACCACTAAACATACACTGTTAAGAAGGTCCCCCTTCCTTTTCACACGGTTTTATAGATGATAGGGGTTTGTGCCTTATCGATTTATGCATTCAGTAACATTTATGTTTTATTTAACTATGCTGACCTTTTGACTTTTCACCATGTCACACACTGCACTACTTGCTACTTAAGTTCTTAGTTTCTTCTCATTGTCTCTTATTTGTATGGATGGTAAATTTTCTGTTCAAAGTGGGCAGCAGTTTGCATTACACATGCACCCCTTTGTAACATCACTAAAATTTCCACTTTTTTCAGTATACTGTTGAAGCTTCATGCTTTTTCTTCTTGGCATCTCCAGTATCACAAATATTCTTCTTGGATGCCATGGCTAATAATCAAAGAGTATCTGCTGCAGAGGCAGCAGATACTCCCAGAAAGCAACTGTACACAGTATGGGTGAGGGCTGAGGGTATGCCTTTCCACTTAGACAGGATGGGGGAAAAATCCATGCTGCAGACTACTGAGATTTGAGCACAATTTGATGAGATGCATGTGTAACAGTCAAGTATCTTTATTTCGAAACACATTGCCTACATGGTGGTAGGCTTCATCAGTTCAATGCAGAAGTGGTATATAAGGAGACCGGAGAAGCAGTAGGGAAGAAGATAATGTGATCCGTCTTTTAACCTTGTAGTAGCAGTTTGAAAAGGTCAGTCCATCAGCTAGGAGATGTGTTCAACTACATAGTCTTGAACAATGTTTTGGAATAAAGATTAGTAAGTTTAGGTACAGGTATGCATAAGTACAGTTATACAAATTTAGGTATAAACTATAAACTCTCTACATCTACTGGTAATTACTTTGTTTACTAAGGTAACTCAGTCATTAGTTCATTCATTAAGCTTGTTTGTAATTACTAGACAAAATATAATCTCAACAACAAATTAACTTTTATAGTGGAGTGTTACACATTCTTGTAATCAAGCGAGGCTTAAGCTATAAGAATTAAGTTTAATTTAATGTAAGAATTTAATTATCCTCCCAATATGTGCCATTTCTGTTCTGTTAGATATTGGTTAGTTGTTCTGGTGATTATCTTCCCATGGCCTTGTTTCATACTAAGCCTCCTAGGTTGGAAAGGAAATATAGTACACTGTTACACAATTAACCCTTCAACTGTCCAAATGTAGATCTATGTTTGCACTGCTAGCACTCCGAATGTCGATCTACGTTTCATTTTACATGCTTTCAAATATAAAAAAAACATAGATCTATGTTCAGAACACTAGTGGTGCAAATGTAGATCTACGTTTAGACAGTTTAAGGGTTAAGAATCACTTAGGAAAGTAAAAGTATGTTTACCGAATGTAAGTAATGCTTGTAAGATTATCTGCCAGTCTGTGTGTTAACGAGAGAGATAAGATCAGCTATGCTTCCAGAGATCAAAATGTGTAATAGGTTTACATTTCACACTCATTTCACAGGTTGGTAGTAGCAACTCTCTGGGTGGTTTGTCTACCAACCTACTGGGGCCCGGTGGCCTGGCTGGCAAAGCTCTCACTTCACATGTGGAGGGCCCGGGTTCGATTCCCGGCTGAGTGGAAACATTTCGAAGCTTTTCCTTACACCTGTTGTCCTGTTCACCTAGTAAGTAGGTACCTGGGTGTTAGTCGACTGGTGTGGGTTGCATTCTGGGGGACAAGATTGAGGACCCCAATGGAACTAAGACACAGTTCCTTGATGCACTGCCTTTCTTGGGTTATCCTGTGTGGCTAACCCTCTGGGGTTGAAAATCCAATGAAAATTTTCTTACTACTGGTAGTACCTCTCTGGAAGGTTTGTGGCTACCAACCTACTAGCAAAAATATTCTCACTTTGAGAAATATCTTAAGAACTAGATCTTAAACTATCTGTATAGATAACTAGTCATATAGGCAACCCTTTAATCATCTTATAATCACTGTACGGTAGTTCTAATGAAGCTTTATTTGCATATCCATTGAAGCTAGTGGTGTATTTCATTAGCTGTACTTCAAGCTCAGTCAGTGGATAAAAATTCCAGCATTTTCTTTGGTTTAAATAGTTAGGATATTTGCTTGGTTATAAAAATTTCAGTCCTGAACAACTCCAAAGGTTTTTTTTTTTTTTTTTTATCAAACTGGCCGTATCCCACCGAGGCAGGGTGGCCCCAAAAAAAAAAAAAGTTTCTCTTTTTAAATTTAGTAATTTATACAGGAGAAGAGGTTACTAGCCCCTTGCTCCTGGCATTTTAGTCGCCTCTTACAACACGCATAGCTTACGGAGGAAGAATTCTGTTCCACTTCCCCATGGAGATAGGAAATAAACAAGAACTAGTAAGAAAATAGAAGAAAACCCAGAGGGGTGTGTATATATATGCTTGTACATGTGTGTGTAGTGTGACCTAAGTGTAAGTAGAAGTAGCAAGACGTACCTGAAACCTTGCATGTTTATGAAACAGAAAAATGGACACCAATCTTACCATCACGTAAAACAATTACAGGCTTTCGTTTTACACTCCCTTGGCAGGACGGTAGGACCTCCCTGGGCGGTTGCTGTCTACCAACCTACTACCTAGGAAAGGGTTTATTGCTTTCATGAAAAAACTGTCAGCTTTAGTTTGATATAAAAAATTTGTAAATTCATTATCACATTCTTTAATTACATCTATGACAATAAAAGAATTGCAGAGGCTGAATCACAACTTGTAATTTCAGTCATCATGTTTTGACTGATAAATGCTAAAGGAACTAACAGCTACAATACCTAATGACCATTCTTAAAGTGTACCTTTTCTGCTTTGGAAGCAAAATAGAAACTTCTTCATTTGCTTACGTGCAGAATTAAACCGAGCAAACATCGAATAATAGCTCTTAGTCAGTTCAAAGAAACTTGTGAAATTCTTTAAAGACAATAAATGCTTTGGTGGGAGACGGCAGACATATTAAAAAAAAAAAATGTTAGAAACAATGCATTTGAAGGAGCAAGAATTTAGTTATGGTACTGTACATTATGGCAAACAATTCTGGTGTTTGTGGTTGACTTAAAAGATTTTGTGACAAAGGAGCAGTGTAAAGGAATATTCTTGACAGCTTCCTCAGAAGACAGCCTCATTAAAATATTCATATCCATGATTTAACAAAATGTGTGATGCATTCATTTTGGACAGAAACCTGACGCACCTCTTGACTTTGAATATTACAAATAGCCTAGAAGAAAAGAAATACAGTACAGCCTCTCCTTACTTAATGATGGAGTTCTGTTCTTAAGACCACGTAGGTAAACGAATTCGTCACTAAGTGAGGAGGATACTATAATGGTAGTGGGTGTGTGTCGACCATCTTTGATATTGTTTTAATATCTCCTTTGCACCATTTATAACATTACTGGTATATTTTTAAATGTTTATACAGCAGTGTACTGTATATTGTAATACAGTGGACCCTTGGATTAAGACATCATCTGAATAAGTAATATTTGGAATAAGTAACGTTTTTGCATCACAATATGGGCTCGGTGAACGTCACTGAATTCGGTATAAGTCATTCGTGTCGGGGCCTGAACGACCCAGTGTGCCATTGTTTACAAGCCAGTGAGGACAATCCCACGCATTCATATGATACATTTTGTATTCATTCCTTTTAGTGCTTGTAAAAGCTAAATAAGACACCATGGGCCCAAAGACAGTGTCTAGTGCTAGCCAGCCCTTTGGTAAAGGGATGAGAGAGAGGGGAGAATGTGCCTTTTTCAGTTATTCTGCAATGTACGATACTAAAGCAGCAGGAGTCTATAAAGGCTCTAGTGCCAGCCAGCAATAAAGTGTAGCATTAACAGTGTAGCAAGTAAATTAAGTGATTAATTGATAGAAAAAGGACAGCACGAAACTGACTCCTCCATTGTTGTTGGAGGTATATAGGGCTACTGACTAACACCGCCGCCTATGCTGCCTCTGCTGCCGCCTTCACCACCACTATGTAAGGCTTATCTTTCAGTGGGCCTTATACACCCAATAAGAACATAAGAACATAAGAATGTAGGAACACTGCAGAAGGCCTACTGGCCCATACGAGGCAGGTCCTTATCAAAATGACCTCTACCTAAAGCTACCCAAGAAATAACTCCCGTACCCCATGACAATGACAACCAACACACCACCACTCATGACATTCTTAATGCCATATTTTATACATTCTAGAGTATTCACCTACCATCCGACTTACGACCTGCTCGACATACGACCATTCGACTTACAACCTTATTTTTCTATGCCAAATTTCTGGGAAATAAACAACAGTTTGTGTTGTACACAGTGTTTATCCTAAACCTTACAGTATAAAATACAGTACTAACAGCATAAAAAGTAAAGTAAAACATGAAATACCAAAATGAAACAATAAAACATTCATTACAAAAATGTGATGTTGATATTCAGTAGTAGAGTTTGACTTGCGTCCATTTCGACTTACGACCGGTTTCTCGGAACCGAACTCGGTCGTAAGTCAGATGGTACCTGTATATCATGTTTCTATGTAATTAATATTGTTTATTAAGTCATATTAGATGAATTGTGATAGATAAATAAGTCGTAGAGCTGATATTGGTGTCATATTGAAGGACTATCTTGTCCTGTCTCCCAACACAATTCCTAGCATACGCCAGTAACAGACCTCTCTGGAACACTTTTTTTTGAGCAACAGAGGTCCAGTGACTCAAGCTGGTCCTAGTGGCATTAAAAAACAAAGGGAAGTAGCCCAGGATAAGGACTTGGTACCTGAAGTCTTTATGGAAGGGGGTTCCCCTTCCAAACAACTGTAAACTCCTCCATCCTCTCCCCTCCTCCAGTCTTCCATACATCACCATGTCTTCAATAAAGGCAAGTGTGATGTTGTTATTGTTTTATTCTTCATGTATCGTTGTTTTCTGTGTAGGTAAATGTATATTTCATGTAGAAAAGATTTTTTTAATACTTTTGGGTGTCTGAAATGGATTAATGGATTTCCATTATTTCGTATGGGGAAAATTAATTCAGAATAAGACAGATTCGGGATAAGTCACTCTCTCTGGAACGGATTAATTACATAATCCGGGGGTCCACTGTAAACAGAATAGATGAAATCAGCTCTTAATATATATTATTTAGGTATGCATACTGGTCAGAAAGCCCGTCGTAAGTCCGAGTCGTCGGTAAACGAGTATGTCACTAAGTGAGGAGAGGCTGTACTGTATGATGAAGCGCTATGGTGGTAGCACCTTTGAAAGTAAAAACTGCTTTCTGTTCATTGTAAAAACATACAGCTTGTTATATTTTTAAATGTTGCATGACTTAGCACCAGAAACAGTAATTGTTAATATTTATCAACGGCAGTTTAAACTTTTAACCTAGAATATTTGTATGCATTTTCTCAGGATTGCAAAATTTGCTGACTGCCTGTTGGTCTGTCCTTCTATTACATAAGGTTGCTTATAAATGTTTAAGGTGTTTCGATGAAAAGTACTCTAGACTTTGGCTGAATTTTAGGATGTTCTTTGCTTGCCTTGCAGGGTTGGGCAGGGAGGGTGGCTGGAGCAGTAGGGACTATATCAATGCAGCATTGGGAGTTGCTGCACTGCTCTCCTCTGTGACCACCCTCCTTGCATGTGTGTGTTGTAAACGTGCTCGAGGATTCAAGGTATGTACACATACCACTGGTAGTTGCTGCTTGTACTGCCTGCTTTTAATGCAGACAATATTTAGTAATTTCTACAGCTACGTATTTTTACCTCCCAGTTTTAAATTTTTGTAATTAGGTTATGCATTGCATTCATTTACACCTCTTCACACTAAAGATGTATTACTAAGTGCAGTATTTAAATTGTAGTGTTTAAAATTCCCATAATTAGTTTAACCATATTACCATTGAAATATAATTAGTACTTTTATGGTAAGATAATTTTATAGCTTGAGAGCTAAGGTATACAGAATGCTTAGATAAGACAATTAAACTGTCTTTTATGTATCAAGGATACTGATATGTTAATATTTACTAGTAAAACTATTACTGTACCATAGTGTTTGTATTTTTTCATGCAGCGCTCAGATTCAGGACTGCAGGTAAATTTAGAGATTAGTTTAATTTGCTCTGGTGGTTAAATTGTGAAGTCAGATATCAGTGCCTTTCTACCTTCTTATATAAAGCTAAATGGTTATAACTATGACCATAATTTTTGAAGGGGTGGACCGGTAAGCCAGCAGAAGGCCTCAGTCAGATGACCGAAAGCTCCAACGACAGGTCATCATCTGACTAAGACCTGTGTCAGGAAATACTTGTCCTCTTTCCTGACAAACCTTACCTAACCTTATATTTCAAAATAATTTTTAGTGCTTTTGGCAGAAGTTTTTTGGTTAATGTTTGTTTATAGAATATTGATAATAGAAGAACCTGGGATAAATTTTTCACATGTTGAACACATTAACATTGATCGTATTGACCCTGTCCAAAAGTGAAAGCATAGAATGGCCGATAAACTAATTAAGGCTAACCAAGAATGTATTGTAAAGTACAGTAGACTATGTAGTTAAGTGATTATATCTTCCTTAGTTTGAGTTGGTGTTTTATACACTGGGATAACACCTCTGAATTATGAAAATAATTAGTACTAATTATTTTATATTTATAATTAATACTTAGTATTTTCTGACTTGTACTCCATCTGTGGTTGGTGATGATGTATCCACCATGAAGGTATGTTTTCCTGTTATTGTTTGTACTGTACATATGAGTACTTGGTGCAGCAAAGGGTTCTTGATCCAAGAAACTGGACTAATCTTCCCCTCGGATTGAATCTATATGACTCCCATTCCCCAGGCACTGTGCAACCCTTGTCGGTTTAGCACTTTTCCCCAGTTAAAATATGCATACAAGTAACATGGTTTTTGAGTACATGAGGAAACTTGACCATTATCTCCTGCAAGTATTTGACCGGCCAGGTTGTGACACTGTGTGGCATGCGGGCCACATGCAACAACAACCTAAATGAACGGGTGGTCTAAAGGGAGGCAGCCTGGCCTCAAGCCTAGTTATGAGGATAGAACAACTATCGTAACTACCCACAGGTATGTCGGCGTGATGTGCGGGTATGTATGTTGCAGGTATACTTGGAGTATACCTGGAAGGGGTTTCGGGGGTCAGTGCCCCCACGGCCTGATCTGAAACCACTCCTCGTGGTGGATCGGGATTTGATTAACCAGGCTGTTACTGCTGGCCGCACGCAAACCGACGTAAGAACCACAGCCTGGCTGGTCAGGTTCTGACTTTAGGTGCCTGTCCAGAGCGTTTTTGATCAAAGACAGCCAGGGTTCTATGGTAATCCCCCTTATGTATGCTGGGAGGCAATTGAGCAGTCTTGGGCCCCCTGATACTTATTGTGTTGTCTCTTAGCGTACTAGTGGCACCCCTGCTTTTCATTGGAGGAATGTTGCATCTCCTGTCGAGTCTTTTGCTTTCATAGGGAGTGATTTTCGTGTGGATGTTTGGTGCTAATATCTCTAGAATTTTCCAAGTGTATATTTTCATGAATCTGGCGTTTACACCGAGTTTGTTTTAGTCTCTTTGTAACGGGTTAAATTATCCTTGATGTCAGTGTTAGGTTTATATGAACGTTAAGCCTTAATCTCTCTCTCTCTCTCTCTCTCTCTCTCTCTCTCTCTCTCTCTCTCTCTCTCTCTCTCCTTCCCCCCTCTGTCTCCCTTTCTCCCTCTCCCCCTTTCTCCCTCTCCCCTTCCCCCCTCTCTCTCCCCTTCTCCCTCTCCCCTTCTCCCTCTCTCTTCCCCCTTCCCTCTCTCTCCCCTTCTCCCTCTCTCTTCCCCCTTCCCTCTCTCTCTTCCCCATCCGTCCTTCATTCTCTCCCTTCCCCTTCTCTCGCCTCTTTCCCCTTCCCCTTCTCCCTCCTCTCCCCTCCCCCTTCACCCTACTCTATTACCTCCTCTCCCCTTCATCCCTCTCCGCCTGTACCCCTCTTCCTTCTCTTGGGGTTGTGTGTTTATTCAGTTGATTATATAATGGCACACTGTAAGAAAGGTCACTGCGCTTAGTGATTCAAAATATTTAATTCAGCGAGATTGAACTAATTACTTAAGACAAGTTACGATAATGGTCTTATTGTCTCCGGTGCTTTAGATACTAATCCGTTTATTATGTATGTGTGTGTTAAAGTTGTGAAGCAGGATTAGTCTGGAGTAAGAGACTTTGGATGGGTGGGTGCACTCGCCTATTTGTGGTTGCTGGGATCGATTCACAGCTCCTACTAGGTCCATACACTCCCTGCTCCAAGAGCTTTGTCGTTCCTCTTCCTTAAGTTATGTATGGGTCCTCTCTACACCACTCCAGATTGTCCCACTTCTCGACGGCTCTAGCGCTCAGGAAATACTTCCTAATATCCCTGTGACTCGTGTGAGTGTGTTGGGGGAGGGGCCACAACCCTTGTAGAGCCTTGTGGTGTTGTAACTCTCAACACTCCACATGAATAAGTTACCCTCAAGATGGCGACTCCCGTGGGAAAACCTACCTTACACTTGGAAGTAACTACCTCTAGCTCCGCTGTTGAAGTTAGGCTTAAACTAAAGGAAAGCGGGAGTTCCCACGGGAAAACAGCAGAGAAAAGAACAGAACAGTATTTTAATTTTAATTCCGGAGGAGACGGGTGCACGCTGCAGCATGATCAAGGTAGCGAAAGGCTGGAATTTAATAAATACGTGTTATGAATACAGTTCTTTCAGGATGCGCGAGTGTGACTCGGGAAGGATGATGACTTCATGCTAAATTTAATGCGAGGTAAGAAGTTCGTACTATATAATGGTGAATTTTGTTGAGGATATGATGGTTCAGGAATAGTGTGACGGTACCATTGGTAGTTATAGTGGTAGCTGTACAGGAGGATGTTGGTGGGGGGGGGGCACTTGAGAAGTGTGTAAGTGTTAGGGGTGTGGAGTACTTTGAAGTGTTCCTGGCGACAAGTTTATTCCAGTAGGTGTAGGGTGAAGTGTAGGTTATTATTGGATATCTATCACCGAGGTGAACAAGTTTTCTCTTGAGGTATGACAGAAGCGCTAGTGGTACTTGAGGGTGAGGCAGACGATTGAGAACTAGTACCAGTTCTGGGAGATACCGAATATAAGAGTACTATATAATCTGTCTTACCAGAAACGTCTCTTTGCATGCTGAGATGTAGACTAAGGCACGGGCTGTAGACAAAGAGTGAGGCAACGTTTCGCCCCGTATGAGGGTAACATCGTCGCAGTAGATGCATGTTCTGCAGTTTGTTTTCATGTTGACGATTGTGAAAACTCTTAATTTACACTGGTTTGACGCAGATAGTGTAGACTAATATGAAAAAGTATGCGAAGTCTTTATTCTGCTGACTTTTCGCTCAGTACTGAGCTTTATATAGCCATAGCCTGATAAACTGAACACAAAGAATACGTCATCATAAACAAACTTTGCATACTTTCTTTAGCATTCACAGTTTACACGGTCAGGAGCGCAGTGAATATGAATGAAATTTTGCCTTGAAACCTGAATGGGGGTCTAGAAAGGTTAAAAATGATGTAGGGCGATAGCAAGAGCCGGTTATGATCAGAGGTAAGGAGGGGTCGACTTTTACATGAGTAATAATTTTTAAGGGGCTGACAACAACAAACTCTAATCCCAGTACTGAAGAACCTGAGAATAAAAAGTCGCTGTACATTTTTACAACACAGTAGTGTAAACAGGGCATATTCCAGCATTAGCGAGTTAAGAAGTTCGGTACACAAAAGCACGGTCTTGGCACCTCTGCTGTTTCTTATCCTCATGATAGACATAGATAAAAGCACTCTCCAGAGTTTTATATTATTTGCGGATGAAGCCAAAATAAGCATGAAAATCACATTGGTAGAAGACACGAAAAAATGCAGGAAGATATAAGCATGGTTTGTCAGTGGAAACCATGACTTTCATTGGTGATAAGTTCCAGCTGCTTCGATTTGAACAGAATAAAGAACTCAAAAGGGACACTATACAAAACACATGAGGATCACCAAATAGCATGAAAGGAGCACCTGAAAGACCTGTTAGTAATTATGATGGTTGACCCTTCTTTCAGAGAACACAAGGCAAATGTCACAACAGCCAGAAAGATGATAGGGTAGATAATGAAAACTTTTCAAACAAGTAAAATAGTGCCAATGGTGACACTTTCCTAATCTCTTTTTTTTTTTATAGTTCAGTGCCTTGTTCAGTGCAGGAAAGAGATCCGATCTGAAACAGAGATATTTTAAGTTCTCCATAGAGCCAATAAAGTATTTATATTACTGGGAACGTTTGCAAGTCCTAAATATGTAGAAGCTGAAGCAGAGGAGAGAAACATAATATATACATGGAAAGTGCCTGAGGGCCTAGTTCCAGATCTTCACACTGCCATAACAACATATTGGAGTGAGAGATATGGGAGAAGTGTAAAATAAACCAAGTGAAAAGGGGCACCGTGGGCCCAGTAAGATAACATTGTATTAACATTTGTGGTCCCAGACTATTCAACATCTTACTATAAAAGTATCTGAAACACTGCTGGGAAATTATCTCCAATTGCCAGATCAACCAGATTATGTAGGTCATCAGGTCGCCATTAGCAACAGTCTGGTTGATCAGACAAACTTGGACGAGGGTCGGGCTCCGGGAGTAGAAAAAACCCTCGAAACTCATCAGAGGTATGTCAAGGGTAAAGGTAGACTTTATGGTCATGCTAATAAAATTCTTTCACGCCCCCACAGGGTATCGATTCATGGTGGGGAAGAGACGTGAGTAAGTCTCCAAACACCTGCGGGTTTCCTAGACGTTGATAGATACCTAGGAGTTAGTAGCTTGTTGGTGGTCGCATTTTAGGGTAAGGCCCTCCGAAGAATAAAGAACGCCAGTGAAAATAAGCTGCACTGCTTGGGTAGTCAGCAAGTTTACTTAGATAGTTACTCAGATTTAGGTGATTACAATTATCTTACCTAGTAACATGTATAAATTACCTAAGATATCCCATAAAAGTCAGTGACTTAATTTCGTTGGGATTCTTGTAATACCTTAT